TGAAAAGGAGTTCGACTTTACACTTACAAATGTGTCAGAGCCCCATTTGGTCACTTGCACTCGCTGGTGGGGTTGGACTTTTACAAGAATCAGGGGCCATTGGAGCAATTTTTAATCAGAAAAAAGTGCCCAATGCGGGAATCGAACCCGTGTCGTAGCGATCGAAAACCAATGGTTTAGACCATCCTTCCACCGACCCCCGCATGCTAACACATGACAGAATCATATGTCAGATAGTCCAATCATTCTTCACATCTTATTTTTTGAATAGGGATAATACTTTTTCTTATTATTGGAGACACCACATACATTATGGTGTTTTATTAGATTTCTAAATAATCAAAATAGTGAACACCTACATGCATAAAAATAGTACAAAAGTGAAATTGTACTGGGATCAGGAAGATATATTAAGAAAAGAAAAATCTCCTGATTGTGCAACTAATAGTAATACAACAAATGGAAACATTAAGACGCGAGTGTTTCTTTCACAAATATATCCAACTTCTACTGTCCTTACTGCCATGAAAATATTGGGAGGGCTTGTAGAAGTTGGAATTATTTGTGAAAGAAACACTCGCGTCTTAATGTTTATATTTGTTGTATATAGATAGCACGTTATTGTTTTGTATTAATTTACAACTAAAAGTTACTTATGGCTTGCGTCATTCCAGATTTGGCCAAATATGCGGTTAGCTTTTCTTGATTAATCAAGAATGGATATTTGGCCAATTCTGTAATAATTGAAAATCAATGCATAGTTGATATTTATTCTGACAGATAACGCAAACTATCAGAAATATTCAGTTGCACAATCAGGAGATGCCTTTTCCTAACTTACATACATATTGAAGTCCCTTCCAATGCTGCATTCATACAAGAAGTGGGAACTCATTTTGACCCCTAACAACCTAGAGCTTTGTTTTCAATGCCTACTTTTGAAAAATAAATATCTATTCTTATTTTTCAATCGAATATAGTTTTAATTAAATAATTTAAAAGGTTTCTGGAGATAGGTTCATTTTTATTTTATTAAAACAGTCTCAAGCTTTAGGGCATCTCTGCCCATCTACAGGAGAACAATGAATATGGCGCCTCTGCCAGCGCTGCAGAGTTTGGTGGAGAATCGCCAGTGGGTCTCCAGCGACACCACGCATTTCGCGATCTACGAAGAATACGTAGATCGCGTACTTCGCCGCTGAGGAGATGGTTAATATAATCCATATTATATATATATATTTTTAAATAGTGCAGACTGTGCACTTTGTATGTATTGACAAGATGTCAATAAAATTATTTTGATTGTCAATTGTCTTTGTCCTTCTTTTATAGTTTTATACCTTTAGGTAATAAAGGATCTTTCTCTACCTCTACAGGAGAACATGAATAAAAAGCCGCCTGATGTCTCCTGTTTGTTCTCCTGCCAAAGGGCAGAGATGCCCCAAAGCTAGAGATTACTTGAATAAAATAAAAGAAATTCATATCTCCAGAAACCTTTTTAATTATTTAATTAATTTCCAGGAGATTTATATCAATTGATGCGAATAGAGTTTTCAAAAATACTTTACCTTTCTCATAATAAAATTGGTGTTCATGATCTGGACAGAACATTGGATATTATTATTACAAATGACCTTTATTCAGAGACCATCTTGACCCAATTTTTCTGAAATAAACATTTTAAAAGGTGCAAATTTATTTTATTTAAAAAGTGCAAGTATTAAAAAATAAAATGTGCAAATATGTGCCAACTTTTGAAAATATGCAAGATTTTAAAGATAGAGAAAAATAAAAAAAATTGCCGCATGCACTTTTGTAGAATTCTGTTAGAAAAATGGTGCTGCATCCAAAATTCCGCCTTCAGCGATTTATTCGAACCGCCACTGTAGACCTAGCCGAGATAGCAGAGAAAGTCTACTGACGCTGACTACAGGGGTGATTGGATACGAGACGCCGCTGTAGACCTAGCCGAAACAGTGAAGAAACTCTACCGAAGATGTCTGCCGGGGTGATTGGATATGATTCACCATTGTAGACCTAGCCGAGACAGCTGGGGTCTACCAAGGATGACTTCCAGGGTGATTGAATACGAGTCACCCATGTAGACCTAATCGGAACAGTGGGGAAAGTCTATCGAAGATACCTGTCGTGGTGATTTGATATAAGTCACCACTGTAGACCTAGCCAAGTCAGCGGAGAGGGTCTACCGAATAATTTTGCAGGGATGATTGGATACGAGTGTCCATGTAGACCTAGCCGAGACAGCGGAAAGAGTCTACCGAAGATGTCTGGCGGAATGATTGGATTCGAATCGCCACTGTAGACTCTCTCAGACGAGAAAGTAGAGAAAGTCTACCGAAGATGTCTGGCGGAATTATCGTATACGAGCCCCCAATGTAGACCTATCCGAGTCAGCGGAGTCTACCGATTATGTCTGCCCAGATGACTGGATACGAATCGCCATTGTAGACTCTCTCAGCCGAAATAGGAGAAAGTCTACCGAAGATGTCTGCCTTAATGATTGGATACTAGTTACCATTGTAGACCTAGCCGAGACAGCGGAGAGAGTCTACCGAAGATGTCTGCCGGGATGTTTGGGTACAAGTCGCTATGCAGACTTGAGCCGAGTGAACGCCGATGCCTTCTACCTAAGATGTCAGCCTGGTGTAAATATGGGCGAGCCGCCACTGTGTCAAGACAGTGGTCATAACATTTTATCCAATAGGATTCCGGCATCGTTATTAGTGGTCAGATATTTTACCCAGGATTATCCCTAGACACTTACTTGAATATCGTACAATAATGATAATTATCAAAATGCTCTTTTTAATCTTCAAAAAAACCAAATAAGACACAACGCTAAATAAATATTAATTAAAAAATAATCACTTGCCGCGTTATAAAAAAGTTAAATTTAAGATGTTCTTGAAATATATTTATTCATTTTATTATTATCAGCTACTCTTTTTCGTATTATATTATTATTATATATAACAGATTTCTAAAATGTGATAAACGTAAAAATATGGTTAAACATATCTACATCCTTTTTAACGTTTATCCAAATCTAAGCTAAATCGATGTGTCCAAATGAGTCAACGTCGAAAAATTTGAGGACAAACGCACGAAAAGGTTTATTGAATGTTCAATAATTAAATATAAATATTATTGCTTTCATTTTGGAAATTTGTTCTAGGAATGTTATTGAAGAAGGCTTTAAAAGGTTTAAGATGGCGAAACAATTATTTTATAATCTTTAAACTAAAGTGTATATGATCATTGACCCTATTTAGCTATCTCGCAACCTTCTCAATTTTTTATCGTAAAAGAAGAAAAAAAAAAGATAAGTTTAAGTTATCATATTTATAAGAAAGAAACTAATTTAAAATATAATAAATAATTTGCAAAAGAACATAATTATATTGCTAGAATTGTTAGGTAGCATTAAAAAATCCATTATTAATAGAATAATATAATAATCCTATTATTAAAAAGATTTAGAAACAAAATATTGTATATATCTCTCTCATACCCAAATTCTTATTTTATATTTCAACTAAAAGACCGTTCTTTAATATTAATAATTTAACTTTGAATTAAATATTAAATACATATTGAATTAAATAGTAATTTTAGGCCAATTCAATTTACGAACCTATTAGTTTATTATAAACAATTTATATCTTTCTTATTTTTCAAATAAATTTTAACTGTGTAATCTCTTTTTAAAATAAGCGCTTTATCATGTGTTTTAAATTTAATACAAATAAAATTAATCTTCTCTTACACAATTAATTAAATATCTCTTTTTTAAATTATAGTTATATGTGATATATATATTATATTTTGCGAATAATTTTAATTTATATTTTATTTAAAAAATTAAATTATTTTATTATTAACTTAAAATACAATTTTACCAATTGAATGAACATAGGTGTGTTCTTCCTAAAACGATTATTATTATTATTTTGCCCCAATTATAGAGATGCTCCACATTTCTTATAGAATGATTACATAATATATAAGGCCATAAAATTAATACCGCAGTTGAAATATATACTGAATATATCTTTCAGAATATTATATCAGATATATACAGATAAGAAGCTATATATTTCGATAATTATATTCGGTACTTTTCTCTTATTACACTCAATATTTAGTATCGTAGATTGTCAAATAATATAATTTGTTGTTGTATTACTTCTTTAATTTTTTAGTTTTTTTTTAATTAAAAAATAACTAATATATCCAACGTGAAAAAACTATACCTTATATTATAATAGCTCAAAATATTGATTATAAACTATAAATATTTTAGTTCAATGAATATATATTTATATTAATTTTTAATACAATTAATCGCATAAATATACTATAATAAAACACAGACAGAATAATGAATTGATATTTACTTACTAAAATATGAATATTTTGCTATATGTAATAATTATTATAAATATTATATTTAGAGTCTTGTGAGAGAGAATATGTTAATCTTCAAATGTTGTTCTTAATATTTATTCGTAGAGAAAAGCCCATTTATTGATATTTAAAATATGTTCTGCAAATGCGCGCGAAAATAACCAAAATTAATTCAATGCAAAAATGTAAAAGATGCCTACAAACTATGGTAAGAATAATCTTCACGCCAGAAAGTGTCGTGGAATTGAAAGAAGAGTAGGGCGGGATGTGGCTAGGCTCAACAGGAATTCAACAGATCGGTTCGACCATTTTGGAATCAATAGGAGAGAGAGGGCAAGGGGAGGAGGAGGGACGGGCGGCCGTACCATTCATTCTCAAGTGCAAGGTGAAAGTTGTGCAAGCAGCATGCCTTCCTAAGACATTCCTAGGGCACGGTACCATATGGCGGGGTCATACCAGTGTAGGGTAGGGGTGACATCCAGGCTGGGTTCCTAACTAACAACGGAGGTGAAGGGGAAAATAATCAAACTGTACCTGGGTTGATGTGCTGCTTTTGACGTCTAGGACGGGGTCATAGTTCAGGTTTCAACGACAACGAACATGGCCAACTTTATGTTCATATGTCGGGAAACCCGACCTATCGCCCCTCAGCGCTGCGCCATGGACTGCTGGCGTGGCGCCCCTGGTGGCCGGACCGTCAACTAACCGCAGGTGAATGGGGGAGGGGGAGGGGGGGCCGATGGCGACGAGGTACAGGTGATGTGCTGCCGCTGGTGGTGTTTTATAGGCAGCCTCCGGCCATTTGCATTTGTCGGTAGGAAATGACGTGCCTCTTCCTGGTGCAGGAATGTGGCGGAGGGTCCTCACAGGTGGTATTGATTGCCTCGCTCGCCAACCTGTTCACAGATCGATGGGCCAAATTGAAAGGCGCCTCCCCCTCCTCCCATTCCTCGAAGGCATTTTCTCCTCCTTCCTGTGCCTGCAACAACTTACTTGTTCCTCTGGGCGGCTTTGTCAATAACTCATCTCTCTAATCCGCGAATATGTCCACTCCCCACACCCAGTCTTCACCTTGTACCTGGATAGTGTCTTCATCCCTTCCTGCTGCTGTTCTTAACGTCCCATCCACAGGGATGACCTCACCCCACACCCAGTCTTCACCTTGTTGTACCTTGATAGTGTCTTCATCCCTTCCTGCTGCTGTTCTTAACGTCCCCTTCCACGAAGATGACCTCTCCCCACACCCAGTCTTCACCTTGTTGTACCTGGATAGTGTCTTCATCCCTTCCTGCTGCTGTTCTTAACGTCCCCTTCCACGAAGATGACCTCTCCCCACACCCAGTCTACACCTTGTTGTACCTGGATAGTGTCTTCATTCCTTCCTGCTGCTGTTCTTAACGTCCCATCCACAGGGATGACCTCTCCCCACACCCAGTCTTCACCTTGTTGTACCTGGATAGTGTCTTCTCCCTTCCTGCTGCTGTTCTTAACGTCCCATCCACAGGGATGACCTCTCCCCACACCCAGTCTTCACCTTGTTGTACCTGGATAGTGACTTCTCCCTTCCTGCTGCTGTTCTTAACGTCCCCTTCCACGAAGATGACCTCTCTCCACACCCAGTCTTCACCTTGTTGTACCTGGATAGTGTCTTTATCCCTTCCCGCTGCTGTTCTTAACGCCCCCATCCACGAGGATGACCTCTCCCCACAACCAGTCTACACCTTGTTGTACCTGGATAGTGTCTTCTCCCTTCCTGCTGCTGTTCTTAACGTCCCATCCACAGGGATGACCTCTCCCCACACCCAGTCTTCACCTTGTTGTACCTGGATAGTGTCTTTATCCCTTCCTGCTGCTGTTCTTAACGTCCCATCCACAGGGATGACCTCTCCCCACACCCAGTCTTCACCTTGTTGTACCTGGATAGTGACTTCTCCCTTCCTGCTGCTGTTCTTAACGCCCCCATCCACGAGGATGACCTCTCCCCACAACCAGTCTACACCTTGTTGTACCTGGATAGTGTCTTCTCCCTTCCTGCTGCTGTTCTTAATGTCCCCATCCACGAGGATGACCTCTCCCCAAACCCAGTCTTCACCTTGTTGTACCTGGATAGTGTCTTCATCCCTTCCTGCTGCTGTTCTTAATGTCCCCATTTAAAACCAACAGAGGTCTATGCGATCTCTGGTTACAAATAAGCAGTCAATCACATCCTTTTTTGTCTTTTTTTTATGTTGATAATTTCTGGATCACTGTCTTTATCACAGTGACAATGAAATATTTCAAATAATTCTATGGCGGATTATTTTTTGTTTCAATTTTAATAAAATTCTCCCGGCTTCGGGGCCTAGTAACAAATGTATTTCTAGTTTTTAAGGCCCTGCTACCTTCAGTTCTACCTATAGTACCATGTTTGACTGGGCACTAGAGAGTATCTAGTTATAATTCTAGTCACTAATTATGTTTCCTCTCTCTCTCTCTCTATCTAAATTATTAGCGATTTAATTCAATACCTTCCAGAAGACATCTTTCTGCCAGAGATCTTTGTGAAGAGTAGTTATAGCTTGTGAGCCAATGTGTAAAACAGACATATTCCCAAATATAAAACTCAATGCGGCAGTATTCTTGTATTAAAAATTAATAGAAATTTTATAAATTTAATTTTAGAATTATTCTTTCAAAACAGAAGGTTGATCAGTAGTAATGTGTAAAATCAATGGTTTCTCCAGTGTATTCTTCTTGACTACTGAAACTTGGTGCTTTTAATTATCTACATTTGGATGTAAACAATGATGTTCAGTGAGAGCCTGAAGATATTTTTAATATCATATGCATATATTAAAATAAAAACATAAAGCCTCCAGGGAAATGTTTCTTTTAAAAATAATTTTTATTTAAAAAATATCCCGAGCTTTATATAAGAGAAACAGGCCATTCCTTCTCCCTATCAGAACCAAAGACCCATTACTCCAACATCCCCAATAGAGACTACAGAGACTTATAATAGAATCCATCATATCCAGAAAGAACAATAGCATTAACAGAAGAATAGATATTCCGGAAATTTATAACATTTATTCCCCGAGCCCAGCCCATAACCCTCAAGCGAAGCACGCGCAACAGAAGCCCGCATTGATCATGCCTTAAAACAAATGTAAACAGTGAATGGACTTTATTTAATTTTAAATCATATTTTTATTGGCGTATTATTCATATAAAGCATTTTCTCCCGTAGAAGGGCGTACTTGCCCGAAAGCTCGAGATATTTTTAAAATAAAAATTATTTTTAAAATAAACTTTTCCCTGGAGGCTTTATGTTTTTATTTTAATATTAATTCAAGGGATTATTTTATCGAATCATATGCATATGTCTATATTATATAAATTTAGATAATATACATCCAGGCATTTTGAGTCTCGAGAAGACCGCTCGGCTATGTCAGGTTCAGCGCACATCTTGCAAAGTTCTGAAAGAAAGCCTTCTTTACAGGCCAACCTACCTCAGTCTTGTATACAGCAGACGAGTTTCAATATAAACTATTCCACTGTAGTTTTGTTATATATTGTTTAGGTCAATTAATTTTGTGTCAAGACAATTTTCATTTTTCATAAAAAAATATGTAAGTTAGCTGAATTCTTGAATAATTCCTCTCCTTCTTTTTTATATCCGCTCTATGATCGTAAGGTTTCAGAAAGTTCAAATAACTCTATTTTGTCATGTTGAAGTTAAAACCTATTTATCCATGTGTATAGCCCATCTGTTTATGATAACCAACTATGGCCGAAAACCTTTCCAACTGAGAAAAGACGATACTTGGCGCCTTCAAATATACCTCTTGTATACTTCTTGTCTTCTACTTGTAGATTTATACTGTCTACTTCTTTTAAATTTTCACGATCAATCACGTTTTTTTTTTTTTGTGGTTGAGAACTTATATTTATCACAATATTTTATAACCAAATTTATAAATGTGTATACGCATTGAATATATATAAATAAAAATATTTATTTTACAAATATAAGTTAATATGTTCGTATAGTATATATTGACTCATATTCTAGAAAAATGTTATATTTGTACCATTCCTTAGGGTTAGAAGCTAAACTTTTTGACAGAATTTCCCACTTCGTTCATATCGCGAAGAAAATGTGCCATCGCTGCGGCAGTCCGAAGTACTGCCCAGGTTGGTGTGTGGAAGTTTAATTCCGTCGAAATTCTGTTTTTATTGAGGGCTAAGCACGCTTGTGTTGTCTTTCCAGAGAATCACCCGGTTTGCTTGATTTGAGTTCGATAACTGGTGAACAAAACTTTCTTCCTTTTTCCAATTTGTTGATAGCTTATCTCGGCAGCAATTCCCCGGCTATCATGAACCACAGTTTTCCAAGTACACTACACCTTCCAAATTACACCAAAGATCACCTAGGGTTCTTAGCGTTCTTTCTTTTGTTCTGGAAGCTTTCTTGAGTTCAACTACTGATTTACATATCAGTACTTTTGGAATGAATCCAGTTGTTATTGTATGAAAAAATTTGCTTGATCAAAAGACACATATGGAATTATTTAGCAACTGAGAGCAGATATTAGTACAGCATTACACAAGGATAAGTGTGAACTCATAGGGAACACTCTAGATTGCGAGGTTCATATTTCTTTGAACATTCTGTGCTTACCTAAGTTGGAAGTGGCCTTCTCAGCAGTGTGCCAACGCTTCATAACCACAGTGAAAGGATCTTCTGGATCGGAGTTCACCTGAGAGGCTAGTGATACCTTGATTGGAGGTATTGTGTCTTATTTTATCATTCCCTTACCTTCCACAGCACATATTTCTTCCGCTACATCTATTGATTTTTAATATATTTATTTTCACTAAAGTTCGAAAAGTGCGGGAACTGCAAATCCCTCTTCCATATATTAGTAAGCTATAATTTAACGATAGAGATAAATAATAATGTCAAATTATATTGACAAACATAATCAGTTTTATCTTATCTCAGTTTTTAGCGGGAAGAATGTTGTTTTCGTTTGTTAAGTGAACCGATCTCTAACGCTTTCTCATTGGACGAATGTCGCCATGTTTGTATATAAGTGGGGGCTAAGGGAATGCGAGAGGCCAGTGTGTTTGATTATTGTGTGGAGACGCTTAAAGTGTATCTGCGTAGTTTATCCGTGTATGGTGACCTCCTCGCATACCTGTGTGACCCCGGTCCGCTCCCTACCAACGCTACAATAAAAGATAAGTACTGTTTTTTTTTTTTTATAACAAATCGTGAGTTTTTATTTACCTCCCTTTAATTGTTGTTCTCTTAAGTGTACGCTTCTCGTGTGTTAATTTTCTCTTAGTTTAGGCCCTAGTAAATTTCACTTTGTGTCTTATCCTCCCTGTAAAAGTTAACTTTTGTCAATAATAAAAAGTCAAAATAAACGCAAGAACCTGTAAATTACTGGCTTTCATTTGATTTCAAGCACGTTTCTGTATAGCAGGGTTCAAAATTTTACACAAATAAATTTACTGGCAATGCGTTTCTTTTTTAAATCTCTACAGACCTTACTGCAATGATATGATTTAATGAATGAGAGGGCTTGGCTCATCAGTAGTGAACCCTCTCAGCGGTTTCGCCAAATTATAAAATTAATAATATAATAT